CTCTAGCTGTTTATTTAAGTTGCCTGGATGATCTGATAAACTTCTTTCTCAAACCGAGCAGTGGAACACGGGTAGAGACAGAATTTCCACTGTAATGCTGGAAATTATGGATCTGTCTACTGCCTACAAACGGAAAAGATGAACTTTCACAGAATTTTAGAGACTTTAGCTACCATCTATTTTCCCCTTTCATTTTATTGTGTAAATTATTAAATCAACGTTAAGCACTGAAAAGGACATTTTAAAACAATAAACTTACCATTTATTTCATTTTGTTTGTTCCAATCTTTTAACACAGTTGAGATCACAGTATGTAGATAATTTTGTGTTCTACTTTCTCCTCTTAATTTTCCATATTCCATGCAATCACCATATTTATCATTTTAGTAATTTTATACTCTTCCATCATAATGATATAATTTATTTAATATCCTTACTATCTGTTCAGTTTTTTTATACTATGACAACAGTCTTTGTAGTAATTACTTTTGTAGATATTTTATTCTTCTTTTGACCTATTCCTTGTGATATCTGATGATTATGAATATTTCCAGGTGTCCTCCAAATTTATAAGGATATCCAAAACCCAGACAGCCATAAGCATGCTTGCTTGCTTTATTTATTCATGATTTAATATTTAGGTATAATATTGAACATTATTATTGGTTTAACTTGCTTTTTCAAATTAACAGTAATAGTGAATCTTTCTCTTTTTTTCCTACTTGTAACTTTTTTTGTGAATGATCTGTTTGCATTTTTTGCTCATTTTTAAGATCTTGGTGCTTTACTAATATTTACAGAAATTATGCATATATTATAAAATTTAATTTTATACCTAAAATTTATTAAGTATTTTTCTAATTTAATGTTCTCTTTTTAGTACAGTAAATATTTGGAAGAAAAATTTTAAATCATACTTACCCAATTTTTCCTTTGTACTCTTCCCTCTTATTACTCTAACAGTTAGAAAAAATCTTTTTTGGTGAAATGTTGATCATTGTTGAGCAGGGTGATGAACAGGCATACGGGGGTTCATTTTGTTATTCTCTACTTGGGAGTATGTTGGAAAATGTCCATAATAAAAACTTTTTAAAAAAATCTCTTTCCCATTGCTACAATAGTGAACTTAATTTCTACTACTTTTTCTCCCACCCCTTTCATGTTCCAGTTGAGGACACTCTTGCCCCAGGAGGTTAAAGTAACTCTTTTACTACCTGACTCATCTTGTTTCCCACCTAGTAAACTTAGCCACTACCTCTTCTTTTTTAGGCACTGCAAAAACACCCCAGGCAGGGCTATTTAGAAGTGCTAGAATTCAATTAAAGAAGGTTTTGCTAGAAGATCCCAATAGCTGGGGCTTCACTGGTACAGAATTACTCGCACCTGCCCCACCAATAAGACACAGTAAGACCAAAGGTGTGCTGATAAATTTAACGCTGCCTCTCCGAGAAAAGAAAACCCTGATTCATAGCCATTTCTTTGGTGTAAATATTTCCAACATGACTGCTTTCAAGTTACCACAGTAATGTCACTGAACCTGGAGTTAGGAATAGACAGGCAGGAGTACACTACTTTATAGTATTTCCCCCACACAGACATAACAGACATAAATAACCTCAAGAACATATATATAATAGCAAATGGGAGTAAAATAATTAGGAAGTAATGAGTTAAATGTAATATTTATAAATATTTACATCTTAATTTATTTACTCCTAAATTCATATAATATAATTTTAAATAATAGCTATATTTAACAATCAGCTGACAAAAACCCTGAAAATGTAACAATCGGCTCTATTGGGCTGATACAAGAATGCAAAGGATGCTCCAGCATACCACTGGGAGACAGAACAGTAAAGAAAGCATAATTTAACCAGTAAAATCCACATAACAAAATTTACCATTTTAACCATTTTTAAAGTGTACAATTCAGTGGCACTAATTGCATTTAAAATGTCACACGATAGACATGGACTATAGACTAGTAGTTACCAGAGGGTACAGGGTGGGGAAGGAGGGGGGAGATAGACAGGGTAAAGGGGGTCAAATATAGAAAGGGGTAGGGGGAGGGTGAAGTGGGTAAAGGGGATCAAATATATGGTAGCTGAAGGAAACTGGACTTTGGGTGGTAAATACATAATAGAATATACAGATGTCAAATTATAATGTACACCTGAAAATTATATACATGTATTAACCAGTGTTACCCCAATAAGCTTAACTTAAAAAAAAAGAATCAACCTGCTAACTCAAAAAAAAAAAAAAAAAGTCATGCGACCATCACCACTATCCATTCCCAGAACTTTTCCATCTTCCCAAACAGAAACTCTGAACCCATTAAACACTGACTCCCCATTTCTCTCTCACCCTGTCCCCCATCATTCTACTTCATGTCTCTATGAATTTGACTATGCTAGATACCACTTATCAGTGGAATCAGATATTTGTCCTTCTGTGTCTGGATTACTTCACTTAGCATCATGTTCTCAAGGTTCATCTACGTTTGAGCATGTATCAGAATTTCATTCTTTAAGGTGAAAGTGGGGTTTTAAGACCAACATTTAGGGCCACCTTTGGTGCCCAGACAACCAAGGTTGGCCTGGAGGGAGGGTGTGTGGCTATCCCTCCACCTTCTCACTTCCGAGGAATAAGCCTGGCCGATTCCCGGGAGTGCAGCAGACCAGAGAATCCAGTCCACTCAAAGCACAGCCCTGGTCGGGAGGCCCCATGTGCCTTTAACAGGAAACACAAAGAACCTGGAAAGGACAGAATATGCTGTGTGCAGATTAAAATCTCATTATGTTCATCTTTTCAGTAAATGCAGGCCAGTATTTCAACCTAAAAGAAGTTCACACAACTCAGTGGTTGAGAAAGTGGTTCCCTGACCAACACCATCACTGGGAACTTGTTAAAAGCACAGATTCTCCTGCCCAACCCCAGATCCAAAGAATCTACAACTCTGGGGCTGGGGCCCAACAATTTGGTTTTTAAGAACCTTTCAAGTGATTCTGATACATTCTCAAATTGAGAACCACCGCTCTGTAGTGATGATTCTAGATTCCAACTACTGATGCCTAAAAAGGCTCCCAAACCACCTCCATGGGTACTTCACAAGTGTTGATTCCCATTCATGATCTTACATCAACTATGAGGGAATGGAAAAAAAACAAAAACGAAAAAACAAAAACAGAAGGAATTATATTAATGGTGGGGGGGGGATAACATTAACACTTTAAAAAATATCTGCACAAACATGACTCAGGAAATGTATTTGCCAAAGATTATTTAAACAGTAGAGTTCTCAAAACTATCTACAGCAATCGTACATCACTCCTGGTAGGCCTGATCTGTTATTTCCCAATGCCTATGAAACTCCAAATTCAATTCTCCTCCCATATGTGGGTGCTGCTGGCTCAGGCAGTAGAGGAGATCATTCAGCCCTGGAGGAGGCAGAACAAAGGGCAGAATTCCAGTCCCTAATCTGCCCTCCAGATTTAATCCCACCTATGAGGGCTAGTTTATTCTGGCATAAAATTGAGATAGTAGTAACTATAGAGCTGGGATTTCTGCAAGCATTAGCAATAACATACAGCCCCCATTACACCCTCCTTCCTCATTAGGAGAACCTTCACGACTTTAGGGACTAGGTTTAGAAAACGAGGAAGTCGGGACTCACCCCAGGAGGAAATAACTGTTCTAAGGCAAATTCCTTCCAGTTGCCACCCTTGGTTTCTGAGTGGTCATGTGATCCACTTCTGGTCAATGAGAAATAAAGACAAACTTGCCAAAAGGCTTAGAGAAAGAATTTCCTCCAAAGTAAAAAGACAAGCATCAGACTGCCAACTTCTCCCTTTCTTCAGGCCTTGGATGTCCTCAGGACACTGTGTCTGGATCTATGACTTCAACAAGATCCTGGTTAATACAGACTGCAAATGCCTAGCATGGTATCTGGGAAAAGTTCTCAACCTTAGTGTACACAAAAATCACCTGGGGAGAGTTTAGAAATACGACAGATTTTGGGATGCTAGACTAGAGCTTGAATAAATGTTGGGTGGGGCCCAGAGGCAAGGACCACTGACACCCTGCCTAGCTTTTGAAGATCAGTCCCCAAATAGCCCAGCAGCCTCTCCTGCCTTTAGATGCCACCCCAAATATTGCTTCCACAGGGATGGGCTACCAGAATCATGACCACACTGTCCAGTTCCACTCTCCAATCTGCCCTTCAATCCTCACCTATCAGCCAGGACCTCCTGAATATTCAGAATGACCCAGGTCAACATCAAGTTCATCTTGGACATAGACTCTACTCTTCCCCTATTAAAGAGTCCAGCCCCATAGTCAGCTTAATCTCTCAGCCCTGCCTTTTCTGGCTGACTCCCTACTTTAACCCGTTATATATTATTTACAAAGTAGCACAGGATACAGAACCAGACTGCCAAATTCAAATCCTGGCTCTCTCACTTGCTAATATGTGACCTTCAGCAAATTCCTCAACTTTTTTGTGCCTCAGTTTCCTCATCTGTACAATGGGGATGATACAAGTAGCATCCACCTAAAATGGGTGGAATTTTAACAAAATAACTTTCCAGGTATTTGGCACAGAGTCAGGCTCATAGAAACACTTGGTGAACATTCGCTATTAATACCTGCAGTACAAAGGTTCCAGCACACAGAGAGGCAGAGCCCTCACAGACTAAGGCACAGTCTGGCTAAAGTGGGGGTTCAGCTCTGAGCTAAGGCCAGGTCCCTCAGTGCTCCATGACCTGATATCAGTGCTGGAATTTCCCCTGACAAAGGGCCCTGCCCTAGCAGGTCTATCTAGTCTACAGGCTGTGACTTATTCCATCTACCTCCTCTCTTTGCTTCTGCTGCTAAGGACATGTGAAACCGATCAGATCATTTAAATACAGAGCTCTCACCACCATGCAATTCAAAGTGCCTTATGTTCTTTTGGGAACCAGCTTGAAGTTTAGCCAAATGAGTAAATAATCAAATTGAAATGTATGACAAGAATGAGTGTTTGCTACTTCATCTCATTGGAATAACTGCATGTTAGCTCTTTGTATTCAAATGAAGTATATGATCATATATTAATTTTAAGGTTGGAAAATTTGATAATTATACATTCTTAATCTGTTTCATTTTTCCTCTTCACAATATTAAAATGGGCAGGTGATATCTGTAACTCTATTTTTAAAAAACTGATAATACATGACAAAAATATTCAAACAGTACAAAAAAAGTATACACTAGATACCTTATATATCTATAAGAACATCACCCCCAACCCCATGGCAACGATTGTCGTAATTTTCCTGTGTATCCTCTCATAAGTATTTAATGCAGTAACAAACATATAAGAATACAGATGGCCTCCATCATTATATACAGAAATGGTACCAACCCAAGCAAACCAATATTTTGCTTTTTTAAAAAAAAAATGTATCTTGGATGTCATCCTATATCTATTCCTATCAATCCGCATCACTTTTTAAGAGCTGCATAATATTGCACTTCATAGATATTCTATAATTTCATCAGTCCCTTACTGATAGATATTTAGGTCATTTATAACCGTTTGCTGCTACAAACAAAGCTGCAGTGTACATATCCTTATACACAGGTCTCTACACAGATGTCTACACATATCTTTGGAATAAATTCCTAGAATTCAAATCGCTGGAACAAAGGTAAACAAACAAAGGCATTCTTTTATTTTGACAAACATTGCTCAATTTCAGAGCAATTCTTAACATGAAACTACATAACTGCTAAGTGTCCATGGTTGGGTTTAGATGGCTATCCATAAACTCTTGTAACCATGAAAAATGTTAATGTGTGTTTATTTTTCTTGAGATAGGATTCGTGACTTTAATTAGATTCTCAAAGGGGACTGTGACACTAACAAGAATGAGAACCGCTTTGTCAGCAAGTCCTTATACAGCATCAAAAAATAACAGTACCAAAAGCTGATGCTAAGCAGGACCCACAAAACGCCTTCTTGGTGAGTAGTGAGAGGGAGGATGCTGGGGGCTTATTATACCACTGGGCTTGTATCTGCAAAGGACTTTCTCCAGGGGAGATGGCTCAATTACACATAGGCAGGGACCTTGCTCTCACTCACCACGGGGCCCCTCTCCATTGGCTTCTGATAATAACTTACTGTTACTTCTTAGAAGAGGGGAAGGTGAGTGCCTTAAATCAGAGTTTTGAATCTATAGTGATTGACTGGCCATTCATGGGACTTCCTGCTCTGTTACAAGTCAGGCTGCTTGTGTTGTATTATACTAGGCCTTCAAGGGTTAATGGTGTTGAGGGGGAACATTAAAGGTCTTTTTCAGAGTAATTTACATTTTGGCCTTTAGCTGCAATTTATCTCTACTGCTGATTACGGATAAAACATTCACTATGGTTTTTATGTTTAGCGGTCCGAACCAAGAAGCAATTATGACAATTTACTGACCTCAAATGTCTTGAACCCTTAAAAAGAATTCTCTAGAGGTGGTGGTTCGGGTTCCATGGTAAAAGCTCTCAGTCCAGTCCAAACAGAGCTGAACGCTAACAAGTCACCCCCATAAAACCAACAATAGGCCTTAAAGAGAAATCCTAAATCCCTAGGAAAATTATTTTTATTTGCTTAAGTTCCATATATGGTGAAATGACTACCACAATATGTTCTGCTAACATGAATCATCTCATAGATATAATAAAAAGGAAAAAAGGAAAAAAAATGTTTCTCCTCATGAAGAGAACTCTTAGGATTTACACTCTTAACATCTTTTCTGTGCATCATACAGCAGTGTTAACTACAATCAGCATACTATACATTACATCCCCAGTACTTATTTATCTTAGGGAAATTAATCTTAATATAGTAATCCAACTCGGTTTCAATTAAGTTTAAAAACAAACAAAAAAATCTTTTGTTGGAGCTCCATATTGGTCTAGAGCTGTTAAGAACTATAAAACTATGGGATGAATGTGATGCCATGAGTATAATAAAGAGCTTGAGAATGGGGACAATTTCAGCATTTACCACATTACCTAGAGTTTATAGCATAACAATAGGCCTAAATTCCCATAAGTCCTATATGTTTTTGTTAATGTTTTATTTATCAAGCATACACATAAAGTTTCAAGGTAAAGAAACACCTGAATTACAATGATCTAGGAAGCCTATAAAATATGCATGTTTCTGTGTCCTAACCTATCATTCCAGACATGAATTTTTGGTTGTGGGGCAAAAAATCGGCATGTTGTGCAAGCTTCCTGGAGAAAGTACCTGAAATTTGGAAACTATGACTTTAGATGTCATCTAAGTTTAGCCTTTTACCCTTCACAGCTCCATCAAAAGGGATCTGCCTACATACCTCTGGTGAAAGAGCTCTTGCAAACTCCAAGCCCACCCAGCCTACAGGTTTCAAAAGTCACTTCCTTAATTTCAACTAGAAGCTACCATTCAAAAAACTCCTACCCACCTCTGCCCAGTACCACAAAAAGTGAGTTGATTCCCTCATCCACAAGCCAAGCCCTTCAATCATTTAGGGCTGTTAACATATGTTCCCACACCCACCTCAATCTACCTTCCGTAGTCGAAACAGCTCCAGTTCTTTCAACCCTCTCTCACATGTCAGCTTGACAAGAAGAAAATTAAAGAGGAAGAGAAATGTTTGGTCAAGATTTAGGTAATAAGCCAGGAAGCCACAAATCAATCCTCAAATCACTATGAACCAAGCACTGATGCTGCCACAGTGGAGCAGAGAGACTAAACAGCTTACAGGTGGTCTGACCTTGACCAAGGACCACAACTTGGAGCCTTGGGATCCTCACCTGTAAAACAAGATTAATAACCCTACCTCAGGTTGAAATAAAGATTAGATGCGTAACCTAGGATGGCTGTTATTCAGTCCCTCCAGGGAGAACATTGGAACACTTATCAAACTGCCTTCATAAGTAGCCCTAATTTCAGTGAAAGCAAACCCTAATGGGTTCGATTTGGGCCAAAACACAGCCCAGAGCCCCTACAAAACATTTTTTTTTAAGTTTCTTGTTTTATATTGACAAGATATATAAAGTTTGAATTCTATTCTAAAATATATCTGTGATTACATAAAAAGTGTTTTATACTCAAATATTTGGGTGAAACTGACACCCCAAAAACGAATCCTCTCCCCCAGCATATTTATTCTGAAGCTTCAGGTACTCCCTGGCATACCACCTACCATCCATAGTACCTGCCACTCACCTCCATCCCCCTTGGAGGAGAGCAAGCTTAGTCTACAAGCAGATGAGCAAGATGGGGAAAACAAACAAGTAGCTAGACATAAGCAAAGAAACAGGCCACAAGACACAAGTCTAGGTATGGTCAGGGAAGCTGGCATGGTCAGAACTGACTGTCCATGTTACACTCGAAATTTCTTCCAGAGAAAAATGATCTCTAACAAATGCAAGAACATCTAGGAGGGAAATGCATAGACAGCCTTGATTCAGTAGTTGTGTTTGTGCATGCTCGTGTATGTGTGTGTGTGTCCCTGAAGCATCAGACACCTAAGCCTAGCAGAATGTAGGGACTCTGGCCCTGGTTAGATAGGGCTCTGAGAAGTAAGCAGGTCTTGGATGGCTAGGCTATGGTTACCCATTTCTCATTCCTGCCCCCTTCCTCTCCTATTTGCTCTTCTACCCTTCTGTTGTCTGAGAATTCCCTGGCAACTAAAGAGCTAGGGCTTGGCTGTCAATAGAGTTACCTGCATTGTAAGGAGGAGGTGGAGGGTTCTAGAATTGATAGGCAATGGGGGATCATTTGCAAGAGGGGGTTTATTCTTCTATTTATTCTTCTATTTATTCTTCTCACTGTGAAGCTGTAGAAAGCAGATGCCCACTATTCATGAAAGGTGTGGGTTACTTTGGACCCACAGGCTCCAGATAAAAAACTCGCATCAACTTAAGGAGCACTTAAAGATGGGCAAATTGTTAAAAAGCAATAATCTCTTTGGTTCCCAAGTCTCCAGCTGGTCAAAGCCATGACAAAAGAATGAGGCTGAGCCACTGGCAAGTGACACAGATTCCCATGTGTCAGGTTCCGTGCTGTTGGCATTAGATATTCAAAAAAGGAGAAAAGGGGTAAGAAATCAGGAGAAGGAGTACGTTTCTTAAAAAGAACAAGGAAAGAATTACGAAGTAAAACTTGGGTGTTGGACTGAGCCGGCTCCAGGGAATATTAACTCAATCCTTTGTTTTTAACGCCCCAACCCAGCACAGTGCTTGGCACATGAACTCATTAAAGAACAGCTATGGTCTCTAACTGGAATCCTGAGCTGTATAAACTGCTCCGGAGGTCCTTCTGGATAAAGGCCACGTCTGCCTCCCTCCTGTCCACCCGGAGCCGCAGCGAGCGCCGGCCCGCGGCCTCCCGCTCCACCCCGCGCTGCCCGGGCCACGCCCGCAGGCCGGCGGCGAGAACCCCCACTCAGGGCGCGGAGCAGGTTGCGCGAGGCCTCCGGGGCTGCCCGACCGGATTCCCGAAGCCAGGACCGCGCGCCCGGGGCCCCCTTACCGTTCGTGCCGAGACGGAACTGCGGTCGTCCTCGGCGGCCACGGAGGTCACACCCTCGTCCGGGCCGAACACCGGGTCTTATCCCGGGCGGACCCGCCCCACTTCGGGGTGGAGACTGAGCCCGAGTTCCTGGTCGTCCCTCTGCCCACGAGACCGGAAAAGTCTTGCGGGGCGAGGCTCACCTGGAGCGGGGGCCGGGACCGCGGTGCTCGGCGCCCGTGGGGGCCGCAAAAAACCGGGGCGGCACCGCACGTGCCCGCGCCCCGGCGGCTGCGAGTCCGGCTCTCAGGTCGCGGGGATCACCCAGCCCGCCTCGCTCCTGCCCCACAGAGTCGGAACCCCTCTACTTTCTGGGTCTCAGGTGCCCGGGCGCCCCCATGCCCACGGAGGTCCCAGCCCCCGGCCTCTCCCGTCCCGCTCCGCCCCTTGCCCGCGGCGCCCAGGTCCGCGCGGGAGTCTGAGTCTCGCCGCGAGTCAAAGCTTCCTCCCCGGGAAATTGCACTTTTCTCTCAGCGTCAGAGCTCAACCGAGCTGTGGCCGGCAAAATGGAAAGTCACATCAGAATGGCACATTGCGTTTTCCTCTTGCACATTAAAACTTACATTACTGCTTCCCTGACTGCGCATAAGCCTCTTAAAGGCACCAGCTGAGTCTAGGTGGTCTTTGCTCCCATGCTCAGTACTGTTTCTGGCACATAGTAGGTGCTCAGTAAACGCTTGCAGACTGAATCTGTTGAGACTACAAGCAAATTATGATTTTATTTAACCAAGGGTAGGTAGCTTTAGGGAGTGTGTTTGCTCTCCAACAAACCAAATCCAAGTGGCTATTAGCACCCTGAAAGCCGGAGAGGTAACATTAAATGATTTCATTCAGCTGTAGCTGAAGGAGGTGGTATGACATAATTAAAAGCAAGAATCAGACTGATATTGATTCTAGACCTGGTTTTGCCCCTTTCCTCCTCTTGAAACCTTGAAAGTTTCTGAGCTCCAGTGTATGAACTAAGGAGAAAGCAAAATTAACAAGGCAAACAGAAAAAGAATTAAATACAGATAACTTATTTCCTCAGAGAGATTAGAGAGACTATTGCATCCCTTTAAAAATACTCTTAACACCCCTGACAAGATCATCTTTACTACGTAGATGCACCCAGCTTGCAGCTGCCCCCTTTGGCCCATAACTTCCCCCAGACCAGGTTGGGGAGCCTCAGTCAGAAACTAACTTAAATGGGGTACAAAAGGCCAGGAATAAACCTGCGATTCTCTTCCTATTTCAGAGTTCCAAAGGGCTTAGTCTGAGGCTAAATTTCAGCAGAAACCATATCTTTGCCCTGCTTCCTCTTCTGTGCTACTCCTCTGGGAGGTTTCTCCTGAGAATATTCCCTCACTAAATTTACACAAGAATCCCTACCTTAGGCTCTGCTTAGAGGAAATAGATCTAAGACAGAGTGTTTTTAAAATTAATTTAATTGTTGAAATGAAAGACTTAAAGGAATCTTTAAATTAAAGATAGCAAAATGAACACATGCATTTGCCTCAGCTCCCTCTGGAAATCCAACTAAAACAACATAAGTTTTGTTTTTAATCTCATAAGGACAAGGGAACAAGACAGGAAAAATAACAAAACTCTGGAAACCAGAAAGCAAATAGACAGGTGGTAATGAACTTTGCAGGCCTGGGAAAACTGACTCTTAAGATAAAAATCGGGAAAGCTGAGAAGCAACATGATATTGTAGAATTTCTCAAGATACTCAGGAATTTGTTGCACCACGTACTTCTGAAAGGGGGTATATAGTTAATATTAAAAACTGGAGGATTTTTTGTAAGTCTGTGCAGGAAGCAGAGTCCTCCATCCCCTTCCCAAAATGCACGGCCCCTCTCCCATTTGGGTGGAATTTTGGAAACATTCTCTGGAGGGATTAACGCAGACGGTTTCCAGCATGAGACATTCCAGGTATGAAAATGTTCTGGTTATCTGTTTGGGTGGAATTTTGGAAACATTCTCTGCAGGGATTAACGCAGACAGTTTCCAGAATATTTCATACCTGAGACATTCCAGGTATGAAAATGTTCTGGTTATCTACCTCTAACAAACTATCCCAAAACTTAGTGACTTAAAACATTGACTATTTTATTGTCTCATGATTTTGAGGGGCTGAATTTGGACAGAGGTTAACTGGGCAATTGTTCTCTTCCATGTGGCATCAACAAAGGTCACTTGGTGGTATTCAGCTGGGAGATGGGCCAGTCAGGAGGATTCACTCACACATCTGGCACCCTGGCAAGGGTGGTTGGAAGGCTGGCCTCAGCTGGCACTGTTGACCAGTGCACTTCTGCGTGCTCCCTCCACCTGGCAGTCTCAAGGAAGTCAGACTTCCTACATGAAGTCTCAGGGCTTCCACAAAGTATACTCCAAGAGATCCAGGACGAAGTTACTGGTCTTATTATTTAGGCTTGGAAGCCCCTGAATGTTATTTCTGTTGCATTCCATAGATCATGTAAATCACTAAGGCCAGTCCAGATTCAGGGGAAGGACAGTTATGCTTCATCCCTGAAAGGGGGTTGGGGGGGTTACTAACAAAGAAAATTGCCACCCTCTTTAATCTACCACACAAGGCTAGGGGAACTATACTAAAATTGAAGATCTATATGAAACAATATGAATTTCAGAAGACTAAGGATACAGGGAATACGTTACAAACACCCGGAGGGGAAAATGAGGTTTCATACAAAGTCTCAAGGTTCAGGATGGTATCAGATTTCTCCATAGCAACACATGGACTGGAAAACAATGTAATAATGCCTTTATAACTCTGAGGGAAAATTACTTCCAACATAAATCCTCAGACCCATCTAAACTATTGGTCAAGTGTAGGAGTAAATAAAAATATAGTCAGACCTACAAGATTTAAAAAAATTATCTTCCACATATCTTTTCTTAAGAAGCTTTCAGATAGTGTGTTCCACCAAAACAAGAGGTGAACCAAGAAGGTTTTTTAAAGAAAGTGAATAGCAGAATAGACAAAGAAAAATAGAATGGCAGGGGAGGGTAATTAGTTAACACTGTAGTTATTGATTTCTAATTTTCCTTAACTGTAGACTATAGCAAACATTTGTATAAGCACTTACTATGTGCCAGTCAGTATTCTAAGTGCTTTAGATACGCAGTTTTAATCAATTAATCCTCACAACAGCTGTATGAGTTAGTTGAATAGAGTCTGTATTAATTGATATTACTACTGATGATATATAATCATTTATCAATTTGACAAAATTGTATTAAACTTCCTGTGGTAGATTGTATTTTTAAAAAGTGGTTGCAAGAATATATTTAGTCTCACATGCTCTTTTTAAAATGCTGCCTCCTCCCCTACGTCAAGGGATGGCATCTTTGTCCCCTCTCTTTGAACCTGAGTGGGCTTCTTGGGTGGGCTGTACAGCAAAAGTAACACTATGTGACTTTCAAGGCTGGATCTTAAAAGGTGGTACAGCTTCTTTCTAGTTCTCTCACTCAAAACATATGCTTGTGGAGCCCTGAGCAGACATATAATGATAAGTTCAACTGCCCTAAAGCCACAATGCTGCAAAGACCACATGAACAGATCATGTGAAGATAAAGAGTCAGAAGAGCCCCGGATGTTCCGGCCCCAGAAGTTGGAACTTTCCCAGTCCCAGTGCCAGACATGTGAATCGGGAGGCCTTCGAGATGACTCCCGCATCATCCTCATCTCACGGCAGCCAGGTGAGAGATCCTGAATGAGAACGACCAAGCTGAGCTAAGTCAATAGCCAGAATCATGAGAGATAGTAAATAACTGCTGTTGTTTCATAGTAACAACATAGTTTATTTACAATAGTAAATAACTGCTGTTGTTTCATACCTTGAAATTTGGGTGTTATTTTATGGCACAACAGATAACCAAGAACATTTTCAGATAAAGTGGAGAGTTAGCCCCGACTTCTGAATCTTCCTTCCCAGTATTCATTGAAATGACCTTTGGCGCGTAAAGAGGGGTACATTTTAGCCTGATTGGCAAGCTCTTCTCTGATTCTGAAGATAGCAATCTCAGGAGGATGGCCGGCCACATCCAGTCTGGCCACTGGCCATGAAGGACATGAAGACAAAAGTCATCTGATAACCTTTGGCCCCTTGGGACTATGGCTTCATAAAACCTTGCAGGGTGACATTCCCTGCCAGATGGCTCCCTCCACAATCCCTTTAGGCTGCTGGAAAGTAACCAATCCTCCAGCCTAAGATTTGAGAAGAAGCTACTAATAGCATCTAAATAGACAGACTAGGAGCCAAGAAGAATGAGCTCATCCTATTTGGGAACAAATGCAAAGCATGGATAAAACTCTTAACAGTCAAAGATGAGTAAGCATAAATAGGTATACAGAAGTATGAAAAAAATTCTGGAATGTAGAAAACAGTATCTAAGAGGCAGAAGAGGAAACTTTTTTTAAGTTTTATAATATCAAGCAGAAGTAAATTTTAAACAGCCTCTACTATGTCTTTGATAGATGAAACAAACCAAAAAACAGAAGTAATCTGAATATTCATGAGGTAGAATTAATAGTTATAGACTGGACTGGACTCCATATACCACAGAGAAAGCATCTAGTTTCAATCATCTGCTGAATATTTATAAAAACTGACAAAATATTTATTCGCAAAGAAAACCTCATTAAATTCTAAAGTGAAAATAAGTTTTGAATCACAGCCCTACCATTTATTGGCTGATAACTTCAAAAAAGTCACTTATCTTTTTTGTGCCTCAGTTTTCTCATCTATAGCATGGGGGTAATGATACTTAACCGCATAGGTTCTATGTTATAAGGATTAAATAACAATCTATGTAGAATTTTTAGAATAGTTCTTGGTTCATTGTAAGCTTTGCATTAGTGTTGGCTATTTTTCTGATCGCCGTCAAATAAAATTAAAATTCAAAGCAAAACTTTTAAGCAATCACTCCCTTCCCCAACCAATAATATTTGCTATTACCAGATTATATAAAACGCCATATTTGGGGGCTCTAAAGGAAACTAACTTTGGCACCGTCCTTCAAGATACTTCTCCATTGTCTCCTAGAATCCACTGGTCCCAAAGAAAAATCTAATAGTAAACTGATTCTTGTTCCTGTGTAGGTAGCTTAGTTTTTCTCACTAGAAAAATTCAAGATTTCCTCTTCCCCTTGA